TAGTGTAGACCAGGCCTATGAGTCTAGATAACTGAACTTGATGAGCTGCAACCAAGGTATCTGTGGTAGCCTTCAAATAAGATATCCAAAATAGTGATGAGTGGGGCTTGAAGAGGGTCCACTTTGTTAGATTAAGACCAAAGAAAAAATATTCAGACCAAATAAGCCTTTATCAGAATCTTTTCTGGTTTATGCCAGAATAGTAATAATCCATGGGGAATACATGAGGATTTACCCTCTCAGGCTCCAAGCGGCAAGCTGAAGCCTGGTATAATTCATTTGAAAGATTTTTATCCTGCTATGGCATATCCTAGAGAATAGGTTTGCTAACTGACACCTCCAGTTTGAAGAATGAGGGTCTCGGTAGTTAGAAGTAATCAGAACAATTTTTGCTAGGTTTTTAGTCTTCCTGATCCTTTGTCTGAACAGACGAAAAAAGGGTGGAATTCAATAAGCCAAGGCACTGTGCCATAAGGCTGGTTCTTTGTATCTGGAACAGAAAACTAGGAGACACTTTTTTGCTCAGAAGTAAACTCTTTCTGCTGGACCAATTGACCTTACATGTTCAGCTTTCCATACACATGTGGTATAAAGTGATTTGGAAGGTAAAATTTCACCATTTGGGAAAGTAGCTGCAGTGGCTCTAATTTCAAAGAGGAATTCTTAGTTATTCCTCCTAATGTATATATGCTACTGTTGTCTAATAGTTTCCTTCTTTCAGTATTTTTGCAGACTAGTTATTATGGGGAAGGGATGATTGGCTAAAGTCATACATCTATTAATGACACTTGAGATTGAGATTTGTTTGTTTGACGTGTAAGTGATTGGATGTTGTGGCAAAAGGCTGGTGCTTGAGAGCTGCCAAGTAAAACCATGGGAAATACAAGAATTTAATAGAAAACAGGGTTGAAGCAACATAAAAGACCAGGTGAGAGAATATTCAGTGAGAATTTTAATTCCCTCAGCAGTAATGAGGGTTCTTCTCTAATCTCCACCACCATTTTAAAACTATTTGGAGAGTGAGATTAGTTTTGCAAAAGTCACATCTGGGATGGCAACTATTATGTTCAAATCTCTTATAGCACAAGCACAACTCTTATTTTTGGTACAAAAAGTGGGAAATAATGATTACTTAGAAAACAAACCAATAACTGCAACTTTCACTTTTGTTTCCATGACTTTTGCCCTTTCATCCTGACAAGTTTCATGACTTTTCTTGGAACATGCCATGATTAAAAAAAAAAAATAAACATAGAAAAATCACACCCCTACAAATGATCCACTACTCTAACTCCTAGCAGATTTATGCTACCGTGGGCTTCTGCTCCCAACAAAGCCTCTTGGTCACATTGACTTACAGATCCACAGCAAAGAGTCAACACCCTTCCAAACTGGCTGTAGAAGAAACATCTGTTCTCAAAGGAGAAGTTTTTTCGCTTTTCAGTTGGTTTTTAATTTTCTAGGAATGGCGTTTATGACAAGGGGATGGAGAGGTGGGGCAGGGGTGGGGGAGTTTCACTCATGCAATTTAATTAGCCTTCTTGACTAAAGATAGTGGAAGACAGGACGAGTAGCTTGCAAGCAGGAAAGAACCCTGTATGTATCCTCTGCAAAAAAACAAAAAACACCTATTTAATTAATGTACATTATACCATCAGGCCTGAAAGGAAAAGAAAAAAAGAGACACAATCATTTCATTCAAAGTAAAGGTTAAGGGCTGTAGTCAAGGCAGAGCAAGGCTCCAATTAGGTCGACTGCATAAGGGACCAGGAACATGGTCTCCAAGACATGACTTCAGTGCTCTTTCTTCCTTTCCCCTTTTGCTGGGGGCTTATCTGGAAACATGTGGGAAGAGCCAGCATGTGGTGGAACTATCCCAAGTTGCATTGACCAATCTGACAGGGTGTTAGGCAGCAAGCTGAATTAGACTGCACTTTAAGGTGCCGCCGGACTCAAATGATAAAGACTAACAGATTTATTTGGGCATAAGCTTTCGTGGGTAAAAAACCTCACTACTTCAAATGCATGGAGTGAAAGTTACAGATGCAGGCATTATATAATGTGTCATGTGTCATTATAGAATGCCTGCATCTGTAACTTTCACTCCATGCATTTGAAGTAGTGAGGTTTTTTACCCACGAAAGCTTATGCCCAAATAAATCTGTTAGTCTTTAAGGTGCCACCGGACTCCCTGTTGTTTTTGTGGATACAGACTAGCACGGCTACCCCCTGAACTTTTTATCATTTGAGGGGAAGCCCACATAATTTATTTACTCTGTCATTGTCAGATCCAGCTGGCTAGAAAGCAAGCAAGCAAGTAAAGGGAATAGACAAAGGGGAACCAAGGGGGAAAAATACCCTAATTTGCAGGAAGACAGTAAAAGTCAGGTTAGAAAGTTGGCAGGAGCAGTCCTACACCAATAGCAAAGGCACTGAGGTAGGGACTGCTAGTCTCCACTATGTAATTGATAATAGGAATTTGTTGTGCCTACAACAGAAATACATTAATGTCTGAAGAGGCAGCATGCTTTTTTGCAAGAACTCAAAGCAATTTCCCCTGCAGATCAGTAATTATTTGGTAAGGGTCAACAGGACTGGTATTGTGCCAGATTGTCCTGAGCCCACAGACATTCTAAACAGATAACACAAAATACCCAGAGAGACAAGGGTTCTCTTAAGAGCATTTCCCCCCCTACTGTTTGTCAGTCAAAGTAAATAAAACTCTCAGCCAGAGATTAACACATGTTAACTTCATGAGAGGAGTGAATTTTGAGAAGCAATTTGAAAGAAGAATCCTCATGCAGGTCAGTAATGCATTTCAGTGACCATGTTTGTATAATGCTACCATACTGCAGAGGGCAGTTGATCCAGATTGCTGGATGGAAACTTGAGAGAATACAACTTTGGCATGCATGATCTATGAACAAAACGTATAATCATGTGAAAATAAAGCTGGATACATGTGGAGCTGAACCACTTTATCTTGGAAAGATATAACACTGCAACATTATATGACAGGGCACTACAAACACTATCACACAGTTGACATATCACACTGATGCAGAGTAGCTTCTATCTGTACTTTATAGGAAGACTGAACTGCTATATTAAATGGACACTCACCTACCTTTGACAATGTTATGATAGACCTTTAAAAAAGAAAGCCATTGTGTAGTTAAGAGTTCTGAAATCTGTTTAAGTATTTGGGAGAAGCAAGCCTACCAGAAAGACTATTAAGTCACCTATATTTAAGCCCCAGCTACAAAAATATGGCACTAGAAAGTGTTCAAAAACTGCATTGTCAATTGCATAGTTACTACACTGCTGCTGCAACATACTGCCATGCAAAATCTACAGACAAGCAGAACTGAGGGAGTCTGCTGAACAGGTAGGATGATTTTTATATGTACAAGTTTATAATTGGAAATCCTCATTTTCTGTTGAAATACAAAAATACACCACCAAAAGATAACTACCACCCTCCCCAGCCCCACCCTTAAAATGGCAAGGGTCCTTTAAAGAGACCTTCAACAGAATGCACACCGTGGTCCCCATGTCCACAGTAATTCATACCCTATGGATCATTGTGTGTTTGTGCTTACTCTGGTTTGCCTTTCTGTTGCAGATAGCAGCAGTGTCTTTAAGACGTCGCTTTGTGTGGAGGAATGTATGATACAAATAATCAGTGAGGCTGTTTAGTAAAGCTTTCTTGGAGGGTTTGTTTAAACTTTTGTTTTTGTTTCATTAATCACACAGATTTCTATTCAAATAAATCCATACAAGAAACCTACAACTTATCGTGGGCTCTGTGATGTGTCCATACTGCTCTTGGCGGTGCCTTGGAGGGGTGCAAAGATGACCGTAACCCACCTTTACACCTCCGCGCTCCTCGGGTCAGCCTGCTATCGATCCAGTCCTTGGTGTAAGGCAGAGCAGGCTCAGTGCTGCATGTTGTGCTACAGGTGCACTGGGCTGACCAAATGGTAATTAGCATGTCAAGCTTCTTGAATGTAGGCATGATCTTAGAAGATATTTCACTAATCCCAACTAAGTAAGTGAACTGTTTACTTGTATAGTGTTTAAGGCCCCAATCCGGCAAAGAATTACATACATGCTTAACTTACACACTGAATAACCATACTGAAGTTAATTTTTACAAAGCTAGGCGCATCTGTAAGCCTTTGCAGGACTGGTGCTTAAGCGGCTTAACTATTTCATATGTGCAACTCAGGCCTTATTTTAAATACCCCAAATATTTTATTCCCCTCTATGCATTCTAGAGTAGGCTTTATATATGTGCAAACAGAATGAATTATTTAGCACACAAATCAAATGAAAAAAATCCTTGGGAGCAGGCAGAATCAGTACATGCACTATGCAATACATGATAAGCCAGAACTTTCTTCACTATTATCTTGACCTTTAAAGAACTGTTAAGAACATACTTACCATAAAAAGTAAGGTACCCAAACAAGGCAGACACAAAATAGAGTAGGAAACTCAGACCAATTCCTGTGTTGGTTACATTCTGCATTCTGCTTTTCGATGGACTAAAATGCAAAATAGCCCCCCCCCCCCAAATAATTATTATGGTTTGAGGTGTTGAACACAGAGAAGTTTACCTTTAGAATGATCTTGAAATTTACAGGGATGAACCCCTGTGGTTTAACATTACCAATACTTTGCTGGTCCCTGTATTTGCAGATTTCAAATCACTTTACACAAGACAAGTATCATTATCCCCATTTTACAGACATGGAAACTGAGGCACACAGAGGTGAACTTTCCCTCCCCACAGTTCTGACTTGCCCAAGATGACACATCAAGTCAATGGCAGAGCCAGGAATAGAAAGAACCTAGTCCAGTATCCTATCAACTGAGCCACACAGGGTGACTATCATATCAGTGCAGATCTGGCCAAATGCAGGCTCTCTGGCTGCTATAAAAATCAGCTAGTAAAGGTCTGTGGATTTTGTTTTTTTTCCAGTAGACAATCAAAACGTATTTGCTGATTTCTCTGCTACAAATATAATCAGAGGCTATGTCTACACTACAAGCTAGGCATGTGATTCCCCTGCTTGTGTACACCTATTTGCAGTAGCTTGATGGAGAGCTTGCGCGAGTATAAATAGTAGTTTAGCTGCGGAAACATGGACAGCAGAGGCAGGGGTGAGCTGGGCTGAATACAAACCTGCCTGAAAACAGTGGGTACATATTTGGCATGGCATAGCTCAGCTGTGCCTCTGCTGACAGTTCCCATGCCATCATGGCTACATTACAATTCATACTCGCTAGCTCTTATTAAGCAAACACGATTATGTGCATATGAGCAGGGGAATCACACCCCTAGCTTGTAATGTAGACATAGCCTAAGAAGCAAATGCCAGTGCTGCCTCAGATGAAAATTTTGCCTACCTAATATATAAAGGATAAACCCTTGTCATTGTTCAACAGCACTAAGTTAAATACGGAACAGATTTTCTGACAACTTTGATTGAATAAGAAAAACACTATCGTTATATTTTAACATTACTTGCTTTCCATATGTTACCTTTGGAGCTCACAGTAAATGGGCAATACTGAGGTATGGCAGAGAAACGAGAAGGCCATGGTTGGGATGGCATAAGCGCTCTAAAAAGGAGGGGGGGGGGAGAAAACAAAGAAAACATAATTTCTCACTATAAACAGCTGTAAATTAATTTGAGTGTACCTAAGATTCTACTTCATGGCCTCAATCCAATACCTGAAATCAATGGGAGTGTTTTTGGACTAATGCTTCTGGATAATCTCCATACTACAGAACGGGGGTTTCCCAATTTTTTCATGAAACTGGGCCATTTCAGCTAAGAACTCCAGTATATCAACCAATGGTCATATTTAAGGTTAATCTTCCACTGACTGTGGAGTGTATGGGCTGCAAGACTCTTTTTGGATATATAAGGCCCAAAAGTGCCAAATCCTACTCACCTTACTCATGTAGGTACTTCCACTTTAGTTCCTGAGCCTACTCCCATAAGTAAGATGAGCAGGATTTGCCACATAGGGTCAGTAAACACCACAATTGGTCATTTATATAGTATGAAACTTACTAAATTATAAGTACAGCTGTCTAGAACATGCAACATTATTGTGTCAAATTATTGACTCCTTTAACCTGCCCTGAACTTTTAGTTAAAAAATTCAGTATTCATGTCTCTTAAAAATTGGTTACAGCATTCAGAAACCTGAAAGACCTAAAAATAAATGCTTTTGCAAACGAAGTCTGAAGGCTGTTCTATACTCAAAGTTTTATCAGTAAAACTGCCAGGGGGGTGATTTTTCTTCTGCGCAACTAACAGCTAGAAACTTTTTTTAAATGAAAGCTGAGACACTGGAGAACAACTGAGGAGCATATTTGGGTACCCCCAACCTACAACTATTCCTTTAGAAAACATTGGTTTATGCCCTAAGCCAGGAGAGTTCACATCCATTAAAAAACCAAAACCTCTGCACACCCCACCTGTTAATAAGATACACAGCACATTACCTCCTTAGAAAAATGAAAGAGCTTTGCTTTACAATCCTCAGTAGAATTTGAAATCTGTGCAAGATACATACACAAAATAAGGGAAATGACATTAAATGACTGACTACAAACCACAGACATTAGATCACATTGCTTCTAGCTAATAAAATCATGCTAATTAAAGAATGCCAATATTATATGAATGAAAAGGAACTAAGGATTTATCAACTATTTTTTTAATTATAAAATATTACTAAGCCGAGGGTTTTGATGTAGAGAAAGAATTAATTATATTACTAAAAAGTTAGAAAAACTTCAAAATAGCATGTATATTACCTGTAAGATCTCTATAGGGCTGTTTAATGTCAGTGGACAAGGGATGGACCATTTTTTTATTACAACCTGTAAAGACAGAGTTTATTTAATATTCTCAAGACTGCCTAAAAGCTGGGGTATTATATAAATAACTAGAACATGTGGATATTGATAAACACAGTAATACAGGCACTGCGTCAATTGTAAACAACCTGCTTGTCTATTGGAGAGCTGGGCAAGGAAGATAAAAAGGCTTTGATAGAAAATGCTGCCAACATCATTCCCAGCCAGTTAATTAGATATTAAAGGCTGCCTTAAAGGAGGCATGGCTGGAGTATAGGTCTAACATTGCAATGGCAGAAACATGGTTGCAATTAGAAGGCAAAGTGGGAAAAGAAAACCCCCAAAACCAAAACCCTAACATTTCCCAGAAAGCTATAGGGAGTTTTACCTACACGGATGGTTTTGACAGTTCCATGTGGTGAGAATGAAAATTAGAAGGAAATTAAGGAAAAAAATATGACTTTCCCTCTCATGAGTTGATTTATAATTATAGTTGCACTCTTCCTGTCACTGTATTTATGGCTCTGTCCACATTTCCCATTCTAGTTATCTATATTTAGAGGTTAGAAATTCTTTGTATCACTTGCTCGAGGCTTTAAACATGAAATAATAAGGGGTCAAATTCATAACAGGGGTAAAATGGAAGAGATCTGTCCTTTTATCTCTAAAAATCTACCAACTATCTGTACAAACATGTTAGAGAGACAAGATTGATGAAGTAATATCTTTTATTGGACCAACTTCTGCTACTGAGAGAGAGAAGCTTTCGAACTTATATGAACTCTTCTTGAGGTACATGTGCAAATCTGTGGCATTCTCAAGAAAGCAATGACTAGAAGCGCCCCACTCTTATGCAGTATCCCCAGCAAAAGTGTGGCCAGAGGGAACAGTGGGTATATGGCATGCTATTCATGCAACCTTGCAACACAGGCACAAGAAAACCCTCTGCAGCAATAACACAGGTCTTAAATTATGCAGCTTAGAAGCTTTTAAAATACTTTTCGTCAGCGGAACTCAAAGCACTTTGCAAATGCAGGTAAGTTTCATTATTTCCACTGCAAATGAGGGCACTGAAGTACAGAGAGGTGATGAGACTTGCTTGAGGTCACACAGCAGGACAGAGATCTAGGAATAGAACCCAGTTTAATGCCCTATACACTAGACCAATGGTGCCCAAACTTTTCCTGTTGTGCCCCCGCCTTACCAGTAATGGAATCTGTCCGTGCTCTCCCCCATGACAGCAGTTGGCTCAGCAGAGGAGCGGAGACTGAAGGTGGGGCTGGGGGCAGAGGTGGGGCTGAAGGCAGAGATGGAGCCAGAACTGGGTGCCGCTCCCTCCTTGTCCCCCTCCCCCACTGTGGGGGCTGGCCTGGGCCCCGCCGCGCGCCCCCGTGAATGTTCCTCCACGGCCCCCTAGGGGGGAGTGCCACACAGTTTGGGAACCACTGCACTAGACCATGCTGCTTAAATAAGATATGAGCAATATATGGTGCCTATCCCTGCAGCAGGAAACATTAAATTTGTGCTCACAAGCAAAAGCCGAAGAGACAGTATGTACATGAAGCCGATTGTACAGAATTATTGTATCTGTAAAATAAGGATATTACTTCCAATGACTGGTGCAGATTTCTTCTGCAACAAATTGAAGTACAGCGGTCATGACAGAAATTAATACTGTGCAAACTACATGTATTTCAATAGTACATATCACCTGTTTCAAAGTAGTTAACTATGAAAACTAAATTGCATTTCATACAGCTTCCAGATTTTCAGAGTTGCAGTTTAAAAAAAATAAAATAAAATAAAATAAAATAAAAAACTTAATTTTTTGCCTAACCGTATTATTTTTCTTTAAACATACATAATGGCATATGGCCTCACTTACATTTCTTTGTAGTTCCTAATTTGTCATGTACAAACTAAGGCAGAAACGTGCAATTTTTATAGCGTCATAAGAAATGTAGTACCCTCCACATCTCTGAAATACATAGCGTGTCCTAGCCCCACACACAAGGTCTGGGCCTGGAACCAAAATGCTTTCTACCTCTGCAGTATCCATGTTTGAATCTTGCTTATAGTTTATGTTCATCTTTTATGGTTCTATGCATACATTTCTTTTTTAAACCAAATTTTTTTTCTGATCTTTTCATTCATCGTAATGACTTATTTCTGAAAAATGCACCCATTTCCTTTTAAATGTAAAAGGACTACAGGGTGCATTTTAAAACTCATTGCACGTACCTCAGCCCAAGACCTAACCAATAATTCTTGAGGGTGGTAGCTTTTTTAAAATGTATTTTAGAAGGCATGTCAAACACTGAGCTAATAATGGAAACTCATTTTCAGCCTTGTTAACTATGGAGAGGCTATTGTTGCTCCATAATATCAAGCTGCAGAAGATTACCTCCCAACCTCCCCATAAGAGCATTTCAGTTCTTGACAGATCCCCTAAGGAGCTGTTTTGGACAGCTTTGAAGTTTGGTTTTATCACATGGTTCAGTTCCTAATGGGTTGCCTTGCTCTCCTGGATGGCACGTTCTTCGGACTCATTTTCCACAATGTTTATCCTTTTATACAATAAGTCTGCCGTGCAAGTCAATGCAAGCTAGAGTAAAGCAGGGGGCATTTTGCCATGCTTCTAAATAGGACTCTTTACATACCTTCTTGATCCTACTAAATATTACATTTGTGCATTAGCAACTGTATATTCTCTCCAGTAAAAAGCAATGCAATTCTAAGGCACAATTCTCTTCCTAGGGCTGCATAACAGATCTCAGCTCCAATATTTGGTTCTGTTTCCTTTACAGAGCCCACAATAGGGGAATATCAGGGTCAAAAATCCCCCAAATGGCTCGGAGGAAAGAAGTTTTCCTTTCAGTTGCAAAGAAGGTGTTTGATGTATTAATATAAATTGCCTAAGTTCTACTTCTCTTGGATTCTTTTTGAGCAGTTTCACTTTGAACTGTCTCACTTCATTCTACATGTAAATTTAATTTACTTGTAATACGACATTTTCTTCCTGTGCTAGTTACAGTAATAGTTAGAAGCTAAGAAAACAGAATTCCATTCCACAAGTAGGAAAATGAAGTGTACATGCCAGTTTTCACTGCCGTGTCAGCAAAACAAAAATATTGTTACATTTACCAGACCAAAATATAATTATTTTAAATCTTTTCACATGCTTTAAAGTTCATACATATTTTCATACCTCTTCAGAAAAACAAACTTATCCTGTCCAAAAAAGTGTATGCCAGGACACAGAGAAAACTCTTAATTTTACAGAGAACTTTAAAAAAAGTCGGGGAAAAAAAGGAAAGACTTATAAAAGCATTTAAACAATAAGAAAAATGTTAGCTAGATAAGCTGTGCACTGATTTTTAACTTACCACAAGAGCAAAGTACACCATAAAGAAAAATGATAAACTACTTGTATAGCCAAGAAAGCCTGTAAAATAACAGTAAAAATAAAAGGCAATTTATAAGAAAATTGATCCTAATGTACAGCTAAAGCTTTACATTTTAGGCATGTTTTCTATTACAGTGCTTGGTATCTGGGGCTTAAGACTCAGAATAACAACATTCCAACTGCCTGTCACAGATCATTTCTGTAGTTTTGTAGGGCAGAATTAGAACTGGCTTACCACTAATGGCATGCTGTAAGTAAATGCAGCTCTTTAATGTTCTGCTGTAAAGATTTTATTTTAGTATAGCAGACAAAATACTATTGCAACCCAAGTAATAGGTTAACTAGGCAGGCCTGGAAGGCAGAACATGCTACAATAACTTAAATAGTCCCTACCATCACCAACCCCCTGCCAGCTAAAATAAATAAATAACCCATTAAGGTTTTTAAGTCCTCAGTTGTAATTGCTACTAAAATAGAATAATACTATCTTCTTTCCTTAAATTACTTACCAATTTTCGGAAGAAGTGCAAGGGGAAAAACAATGCAGACTGAAGTAATCAGTAACAGCACTCTGCCATCAAGATACCATGACCTATTGGAAAAGTTAATTATAAATTGCACAAAGTTCAAAGGCCCTGAAATATACATATACTACTTTACTAAACACTTATCTTGGACAAATAATCCTTAGGAGAAAAATATGCTTTTTTAATTCACCATCGCATATATATATATATTTGTATTGAAATGGAGTTCTCCAACCGTCAGAATACAGGAATGACCAACACTCTAGACAGTTTTCTGGTAGGCAAATACTTGCATTGAGATTGGTGGAAGAGGCCTGATTTACATAGCTGTGATTACGTCTTAATAATCATGCAGTATGCAAAACCCTGAGCTCAGACAAAGTAGTTGATCACAGCACTGGGATTTCCAGGACCGTGGTTAAACCTCAACATCTGTACAGTATGACAGCTGCAATCTGATTGACTAGTGCTCTCAGAACCACACATCCATATGACCAAAACAAAAGTGACCATCTTAGCTTCCCACTCTTTTCCCTATCCTGTTTCTCCCACATGACCTTGGCTCATATCTCCATCTCCAAGATGCCAAACATGGACAGCTAAGCTACACACAAGCATACTTAATTTTTTAAAAAATTAATTATACTGATTTTTTAAAGACCCTACTTCTCCCTTCTGTCCAAGTTTCAGTGAAAAACATGCTGAAGGGTTGCAGGCAGCAGTGAGAAAACATCTATATCCATCATATTCAGTCTTCAAATAATGTTTATGAGAAATGTACGTTTTCTGAGGAGAAGAGAGACAGAGGAAGGAAAGAAGGGAGAATGAGATATTTATTTTTTAAAAATATTTATTGTGGGAAAAGTGGCCAATATTTCCTAGGGGCACAGATACAAGAAAAGTAAAGGAGAAAAAGGGGGTGAAAGAGCATCTTCTTTGTCATTTACATATATTGCATCAAAGAGGTACACAATGCTTTACAGAAGTCAAAATTCATCCAAAAAGATAGAGTCCCTTCTCCAAAGAACCTGAAGTACAGAGGCACAAATTGTTATTAAAAACAGTAACAGACGGTGCTCCCTGCTAACCTGGTAATAACCACCATATCCTTGACTGATAAATACCTTGCACATCAGCCTTCGGGTTTATTACCTATAAACACCTTGGCCTTAGAGTTTGTGTAGTCCAGGATATGGTTAGCACTTCATACACAGGCAGCACCCTCAAGACATCATTTAAGAAAAGAAGCAGATGACCTGAGTTTCATAGAAAAAGTACTATCTATGAAAAATATAGACTGTCACTTATGTGGACAACTACCAGTCCTGTTTTTTAAAAAAGTGTTATATATAGTGAGATAAAAAGCCCAGAGTCCACAAGCTGACAGCATTATTGCCAACTGGAGGTCATACTTCCAAGTCAAGTGACCATTTTGCTATGTATTGAAAACTTTTGTAGAAACATTATATTAGAGTTTTTTTTAAAAAAATGTATTGTTGCCTTGATGTGCTACAGCTTCAGTTACTTTCTAATGAAACATTGCTATTTGCAGCCCTTAGGAGCAGTGTCAGTTAATACCACCCAGCCTAGGCAACAGCAGAGCTCCAGCAGTAATAGTAGCAGCCATCTTGGATAAATATAGAGACAGTTTTCTCACTGTTTACAATTTGTCCCTCATGTTTGCTTTAAAATGTTGCATTTACTCAGTACTTTATTGAGGTTATTCCCTGAAAGTGTGCCCCCAATATATTTACATGTCATTTTAATTCACAGTTTGTCATAATTTGTTTCCCACAGGGTGGCTGATGAACTTTAAAATTAATAGAGGGGGTAAGTAAATGGACCATACATGCGGCATTAAGTGAGGGGTAAGCTGAAGTACCTCAGCTGCAGTATACAGCGGCATCTCTGTTTTAAGTTACATGACTATCTAGACCAACAGCTAAACAATCAATAGATTACAGTACCAATAACCATTGATGAGTTAGGAGGACAAAACTTTTTTGGTTAGCATGTACTAATCAATACTATTATGTTTGGAAAATGCATTCTTAAAAAAAAAACATATAAAATACAACTACAACATATGAAATACAAGTCAGAAAAAAGAAAGTATTACAAAAATATTTTTAAAGTGTTTTGGTGTGAAATATGGAAGTTATGTTTTATTAAAAATATAAGAGTGAAACATCAGTGATCAAACAACCCCCCCCAAGTTTTTCCATAAAGTATTAAAGTATAAAAACATTTTCTCTCAAAATGAAAGTTTTTAGATTTCCTATAAAACTGGTTTGAGCTGTAACTTTACTCCTCTATGATAAAAATGTTCCAAGTATGAAATATGGAGTATAAGTTTTTAGCTGTACTGCAAATGTTTTGGCAAGCAGATGTTCTTTTTTTCCATATTTTAAACTAAAAACAGACATTTATAAATTGATTTAATTTCATTCCCAAATAGAACAGGACAAGACCATCATATGTTCTAAATTAGGCTCTTACTCTCAGTCCATATCAGTTATACAACACACAGGCAAGACAACTTAATTGCATCAATCATATCCTCCTGACAGGGTCATTAAATGTTAACAGAGAGCTCACAAATTACAACATTTTGACGCAGTCTGTGTTTTAAACTACGTTCATGTCATCGTCAAAAAATATATGGAGTTCTTGTTATTCAGACTGATTGAAACATTTCCATTTACAATTAACAAGTGTGTATACGGTACTTTTTTAAAAAATATATAAAATAGGCATTAAGGCACATTGCAAACTATGGTCCTAAGCCTGGAAACACTTATACATTTTTTTAATTTTATCTACAGAAAAATGTACATGCATACACATACTCTAAATACATTGCATATGTGCATATTTAGATCCTATACATGCATATAAAACTCATTTTTCACAGATAGTGATGTTTCAAGTGTGTGAATTTGCTAAACTAACTGAAGTTTAAGATAAACCATGCACCAAAATGAAAGCACATCAGATGCCATATTGACCTAACAGAAACAAAACTGTCATGTAACCACATCTGGAAACAAATTTCCTACTATAATTAGTTAAATCAGCCACCCAATATTTATGTCCCTTGCATATTTAAGACTACCTTTAGGTTTGATATTTGATTACGTATTTTGGGTGCTTAATTATTTCCTACAATTTTACAAATTAACTACCAAAGAGGTATACATTAAGGTTGCAACAAATGGACAAAAGGAAATAAAAATATTAAAGGTTCTGCTCCATCATGACAATTCAGGCTGCCGTGTGAAGCTTTAAGGAAAAGAAGTTAAACTATATAAGTTATAGATGAGGCAAACAGGCTTTGGACATGCAGAAAAAACAAGGAAAAAAGTCATAGTTCAGTGTATGCACTTTGATTATGGCTTAATCAGTAATTTCAAAATACGTTTTATATATGGAACAGATTATGGGAGTTTGATCATACCCACAGTGGAAAGATTCCCATTGACTTCAAATGGAAATGGATCAGATCAAAGGAACCATCAGTATGTTTCTGGTAGTGTTCTCGTTTTGAACATATAAATTATTTACGCGACAACCAGCAAAGTTTGGTGGCGTCTGTATCAGGCAGAATTTTTGGCACATTAAGAAATACAACTCTTTCTTCTAGACTGTAAGGTCTTCAGACAGGGACTGTGTCACTATATATGCTTTTAAAGTGCCTAGCAGAATGGGACCACATTCCTGATTGGGGCCTCTAGATTCTACAGTTATATGAATGCCAATAATTATGAAAAGATAATTAAAAGTTACTACAATCCTTATTACAAATTTTTGTTGGAAAGAGTCAACTCTGAATGAACACAACCATTATTTAGAAGTAAAGTAAAATCAATAGTAAATGTCTGGTTATATTGGACTGCAAAAATAAAGAATTTTTTCCATAACACTTACCCAATCAATTCAATATGCTTAATGTCACAGTGCTCAGAGAGGGCTTAAAATATCAGGTTGAAGGTGGAAGATGACATTAGTTACAATGTTAAAGACAACAATTACATCTTTTTTTTCAAGCTTATGGTAATATTTTCCAAATTAAAAGCAAACAGAAAACATGACCATTTTATACAGCGCTTTAATAGGTTAATGACCTCTATTATTAAAAAAAAAAATTCAGACTATCACAGACTGCTCTTTCCCTAAGTGACAACAGTTTTTAATTATAACCATAAAAAGTATCAAATTGAAAAAATTAAATTAAGCAAAAATAACATTTTTTAAAGTAAGCACTACAACATTTATGTACTGTGTCTGTATCACTCGCATACACAATGTCTCTCGGTCCGAGTTGGTATACTGAGCTTAAGCCCAGAGAAAAATGTTATAACTGAGTGAAAAAATCTCCTAAAATAAGAGTTTCAAAACAGCCATAACACAACCTAAAACATATTGTCATGAATGGTGACAGCACTGTAACAACCCAAATAAGATATTCTAATGCTGAAGCTGGAACGTTTTTCTTAGCTAGCAGAGCCAGTTTTCTTGTGATGGATCTGATTCAGATCTAAAGTACATTGCGCCTGCTATATACAACTATATAGCTGTACTTCCAAAGCATAATTTCTTTAATGGAAGCCAAGTTGGGGAATTATAAACCATGTTTGAAAACTTGGCATGTTTCTCAAGACAAGTCCAATTATTGAAGCAAGACAACAAATATTTAAATTTGAATGCCTGCTGGGTTTTGTATTGCGGTTTAACAATATGCAAAGTGATAACATGACAGAAGTTTAAACGTTTTGGTTTTTTCTGCCTTCTCTTTTCAAGCTCAGTTCTCACAAGATTCTTGCTTCCTGCTGTAGAAAAAGAGATTTTTTTTGGATGGAGTTTTGACTTCAAAGGCTGCAAAATCAAGCTCAGAAATTACAGGCCTAATTTCCTACTTGGTAATAACTTCACTAAAATCTATGGAGTTAAAGTAATGTGAAATTTATGAGGGAAGAGAATCAGGCTCTATTTTTGTATGTGATGAAGAACTCAAACATGCCAACAGCATTCTGTGTTCCAGGAACTCCTGTAAATCACTAATTTTTTAGCGTGTGAAATCAAAGGGAAATGTTGGTATCCATACTTTGCAACAGAGCTGGACTCCTTCTACAGGACTTGCTTTCTTCCATTATATAATGTTTGAAACATTTTTCTCTTACCCGCTGTCATTTCCACTTATGAATCCTGCAATTGCACCAGGCAGTTCAGATTTAACAATTAAAAGATAAGATGACATAGCTGTGAATAGAAGTGGAACAGATTTAGTACTGGAATACTAGCATCTCTAGTAATTACAATTAGCATGGCTTGCCCAGAGTGGTTGGAATGTAACATCCCAGCTAGTTATTAGACTCAGTGGCACCACAGACAAAATTAATGCTTTTTTTCATATACTTCCATTAGAAATATCTACAAATCCACATGCATTACACCCGTTAACTAAAGGAGCAAAGAGATTATTACCACATGAGATCTTGAAATAAGGAACATTTTATAGGATACTAAAGAAAAATAGTATGAAACAAAATGGAGAAAAACCCATACAAGTTGGGGAAAAAAAAGGAATTTCTTGCTAAGCTTTCTTCCCTAAACTTGATCTACAACCAGTAGCCTGGCTGCAGCATGTTCCCTTCACCCTTCTTTTATAAATAAAAAAACATCTGTGGGGTACTAAATTATGTGAACAAATCATGACAATTATTTATATTTAGAAAATATTTAAAATGATGTCCTTTGATATATTTTTTTAGATCAGTCAGTACACTAATATTTAATACACATTGCAACAATTTAGGCAAATACAGGATTGATATATTTTTACACTACAAAATTATTAATATTTCTGGTAAGTAATTATAACAAATATGTAGCCAACTAGGACTTCAAAGGTTATCCCTGTCCTGCATACCATGGCCACTAGGAATATCATGGGAATAACAGAGACAGAACTCTGTTCCTCCTGCTTAAAAAGCACAGAACACTTTAGAGTCAAAGAAGAATCTCTATTAAATTGTCAGCAGCATAGGAACCATGATACACAATTAAGCATTTACGATTCTGTTTAGATGAGGGCAATGATATAGACAAACGTATACAGTTAATCATTACGCTCTGTAAAAAGGCCTTGGGGGTAAACAACAACTCTTACAACTTTCTTTGCTATTACTCATTAATATATTACCTCATCTACAACCCATTAGCCTCTAGAAGAGGCTACTTCTCATGTTACTGAGTCTTCACTGTCTGTAAAGGTTTACATATAGTTCCAAGACCAACCGAAAATTACTCAGTGATTTGTTCAGTTTTACAGTAGCTTATAAGACACACCTAAAACTACCATGAAGGTACCCTTCCACCCTTCAGAACCGAATGATTTTAGGAAATTGCTGAAAAAGCTTTAAATATTTTTAAAATCTGAAAAACATTTTTTGGATTTAATAAGATTAAAGATTATTCCAGTATACTCAATTATTTTGTGGTTTTTAATCAACTTAAGTTGAAACCAAATACAGCACATTTCTGAAAGCTGATTTTAAGATTAGACACAATAAAAAAATAAAATAGACTGTTCCAATCTTTAAAAGTTAGTAATCACAGAAGCTGCAGCACTGAAACAGTTAATGGTAAATTCTGAAGAGAAGGAATGTGGTCTCTATAAAGAAAGTGAAATGTATTAATACAAAGTGACATGTACCTACAGCAAGGTTAAATTAAAAACAGTTGCTAGGTCACTAAATAAGGAAATATTCACTTCTTTGTATTAAAAAGCTCAGATTTTTCCAATCTAGAACTGTTTTTCCCTGTTGACACAGTTGTTGATAAGGCCTGGTGAGAAATTTTATTTGGTGTCACCAATTTGATTCTTTTATTACCGAAATTAGACGGTATGTGCTATATAAGAATATGTATAATTGAATATAATTTTTAAAATATCAGTATTACCCTAGGAAGAAGACAAAGAACTGAATTTTCTGATGTTGACCTACAGATACATGCATACAAAAAGGCAGATTTTAAAAACCCTTGAAGTCAAGAAACGGTAATTTACAATTCATCATTAACTGTCCATCAGTCTCTCTCTTACTTGTATTATACAATTCATTCTACGTACGCAGGTCTGAAGTTTCAGACACTTATCTCCTTCAGAAAGATTTTTTAAAATTATAATTTCTATTGCAACTTCAGCTGTAGAAAGCTTCAGATTAATATCAAATTTAGATTTTCTGCTAATACATGATGTCACTCTTCCCATGCATTTCTATTAGCCTCTGGCTAACCATTTAATTGCTTATCCTTTGTTGTGTGCTTACTGTTTGTTTTTCAAATTGGAGTCCTATTTCATTAAATTCCACTCCCAAGAAGGGAACTAATTGTGCAACAAGAAACTTGCACGTGCTAAACATTTGGATGTATCTTTCTTATTTTCTGTATATATACAGAATCTAATATACTAATAAATAATCTAACAAGCTACTTCAGTTTTCTTGTCCAATATATGTTCTCTTTGCCTTTTTTCTTTTCTATAGGATATGAAGAAAATCAATGCTGAATGTACTAAGTATATTTATACCATGAAGCTTACATAAGATATGAATCTCTCTTTTGGCAACTCATGAATAAACAGCACTGCACAGGATACCATGCTCTGTTCATTGTTTAAGAGGATAACTCCAGCTTTTTTCATATCAACAAATACAGTTACATATTTCACAAGAAGAACAGCACTTTGATGAGGCTGAGAAAACCCCAAAGATTTAAATAAATAAATAAATCAAATATTTTTATTTAAATTAAATACAGGTGATCTTTTTTTTTTTAATGAACACACTTTAAATTTGAAATTGAAAACCTAAGTTAAGGCCTAAATTTATTATAATCTATTAAAATCATGTAAATTAAATACCAAAAATAATATTACACAGTACATGTATTGTGCCAAGCTTTAAAGAAAGTCAAACCACTGAACTGCTGGAAATCACTGACTAGGCACCTGGAACCCGAGTTTATTGAAGTGCTAAACCAGCTTTTGACAGCAGTAGCGTCTTCATTTCAATTTATTCAACTAGTTAGGTTCAATGACTAGTTCATTCAAAGTTATGAAATCAACTGGGAACTGAAAAAAGCAGGGAAGCTTGTTTTCCTGTTCCAACCTATGAATAATAATTATGTATAAGAGGTTGAGATCTATTAGTTCTAAAATCTTGCATAATAGAATAACCAGAAACAATTTGATTCACTAACTACAGATGATACTTCATTAAATCAGTTTTAAATGCAAAACATGTTTTGATAAGAAAAATGTGTGTGTCCACCATTTTTAAGGGAGTCATATATAATAAAAAATAAAATGCTGGTTTTGTACATTTAATTGAATTCAAACAGTGCTTGACACAAATCACAAATAAAATATTAATATAGTAAATAAAAAATGCATCATTTACCATAACAAAAACGTAAAAATTAAGAATTTGAATAAATATAAATTAAGCTATATAATTGCTTAAATAAATATGTATAGTGTATTCTGATCGGCAAAAATGCACACCAAATTTAGTGTAGAGGCTCTATTTAGTTGCAAATCAACATATTTAATGGTTACCAACCTTTCAAAATCAACCTTTCTTTAGGAAAATAAAAAGTACAAGTGCAAAACAATAAAAACTGATGATTAAAGTCAGCAAGAAGGAAAACTTGATTTAAATCAGGATTAAAATTAGTGATTTAAATCGGTTTGATTTAACACACCCTGCTTTAATATATTAAACAATATGGGGGGGAAAAGAAACTAATCATGGATCCTTTGAGGAAAAAAAAAACGACAAAAGAGTTAAAGAAATCAGTTTGTTGAAACTAAAGAGGGAAAGCTTTCCACTGACAAGAGATGTAGCAATTAAAAAAAAAAGTCTAATCCATTATTTTCCAGTAAGAAGAAAAAATAACTACAATGTCCACTAGTTTTGTCCAGTGTCTACTAATAAAAGTAGGAGAAAAGGAGAGAATCAAAACAGGTATCTTTGGCTACAAAGGAATGATTTTTATGCGATTTCAAAAATGGCAGATGCAGCCATAAAATCTTCAAGTTATACTGTAAAACTTAAATGCTACTTACACTAGAGAGGACTTAGTGTATAAGGTCATCTCTCATCAGGGGAACAGATGAGCTGGTCATGAAGCTGAGCTGTTCTACAGCAATTACAAAAGACTACATCATAAGCTCTGATAGTAAGGAATTAACATTTTGTGTCATTTGGTTGAGTATTAAAACAGACACTTAAGGGCTCTAAAGAATTATCTATTACATACAAAAAGTTACATTAAAAGAACATTAAGGTTGCAAAGCCAAGCACTCCAAAAATTAGGAAGTGCTGGAAGTAAGGCTGCCTGTGCAATCTGAGTTCAGCCCTCTTACGCATATATACGTATTATGACAGCCTTGGCCAGTATCATGTAGGAAGTGTGTGGCAGAGCCAAGGAGAGAATTCAACTCTTCTGAGTCCCAGTCTAGTGTCTTAAATATAAAAGAATGTCTGTTCCCTTCTTGCTTACCCTCTGCTTCATTCGCTGTCCATCTTGTGCACTGAATGATGCAGGGGTCCTATAGAATAAATGTTAAGTGATGATGTAACTAGAGACTGTAACATAATGCAGATGCACAAAGAGGCTGAACTACACTTGCAGAGGCAACCTTAATTTGAGCATTTCCTAATGTTTGATTTAGCAACTTTAACGATCCTTTAATTTAACTTTTTGTACATCATTACTACTAGGAACTGGCCGATCAAGAAGAATTAACCAGAGTTGAAATTTATAACTCCTCCTCGACTTATGGAAATTTTGTAATTCAACATTCCATCAGGGAGAAAAATAATAATTCTCACCACCTGTAAGTTATCAGCCAATAGATTCACCACTGTCCTAAAAGCAACAAGTGACAACACTTATCAATATACAGAACTTATTAGCACATTGTGAAATGCTGATGTTGGCTGGCTAGTTTGCAGGATAGGATTTATAATGTTAGGCTACTTTGCACCAAAAGTTCTTCATTATGTAGTTGGGGGCATCACAACTCACTAGAAACACATGTAATAAATGCATTAGTCATCATTTCTGTACTGTGCATTTATACTTTTTGGCCGTCACCATATGAACCCAGATTTGAAAAACCATTATCTGGGGAAGAGAGAGAAAAATTGAGAAAAGTCCAATAAATGCACCACCAATCCTCTCAGGTAGCC